TTAGTGTCACTGATAAAGTGTCACTAATTTATGACACTAAAGTATCATAAAAAATTATGACGAAACAATATCAGTTTATATTTTGACACATTAGTATCAATTAAATTTATGACACATTGGTATCACATAATGTTGATTATATATTTGTATATTTATAAGATTATATATATAATTATTTATACACACGAAATATAAGATTATTACTTGAAAATTAAAAATGAAAATGTATGAAAAATCAAAAGGCGCTTTATTGAAAATAAAAACAATTATTATTTACAATTCAAATGTCATATGCATTGAAACACAAACTCAACTAAATCTATAACAAACTAATTTAAGATCTTCTAACTGCTATAAGCTTCACCTATGACTAAATCAGTTGATCTTTAACATGAGATTGTAGTGCTTCCTACTTGTTGGTGGCTTGGTGCCTTTTCAACATCTGAAAGAAACAAAATCAAGTTACATTAGATAGCAACAATGAATGATGTTTATGTGAGAGCACCAAAATATTGTTGCTAAAAAGCAACCTCTAAAGCTAGATGAACTTTAAAAGACCCCCTTAAGAGCTTACTCCATCAGTCCTTCATCAAAGGGGGGGAGGGGGGGCAAAGTTCATCATTTTTACTAGTTTGTACATATTTAAATCTCTTAGTGTTTATATAAGAGAGATACAAATGAAAAAAAAAAACAGAAGTAGAGATACCTTTGGTTAAAACAAGCTTCAGAAAAGTTAATTACTCTTTCGTAATTTGAAGATGATCAAATCTCCAATTTGAAAAAAAAGCTGGAAACTTTATCAGCACCAGCAACAATCTTAACAACTTCAGCATTTTTATCCAAATTCACGACACCAATGCCTAAACTCTATATTTAGATAAATTGAATTCGCCCAATTCATGGAAACTAAGCAAATCCCATATTAAAGTGGAGGCAGGCGATGCCTTCAATTTCAGGAATTCTCAAGAATTCAGAAAATTACAAACATGGTCATACAAAGTGATTTTCCAGAACAAGGGAATACCCACGGTTTGAGTTGCTATGAAAGCTTACATGTAAGGTGACATTGTGAAGCATGCAAATCAATTTGGAGGGCAGGTTTGGATAGTTTGGAATTCCATCAGTCTCTTTTTTCACTAATGCTGCTACCTGAGAGTTGTTATCATATATCAAACAATACAATATTTCCTCCATCAGATATAATGTTAAAAAACACTTTTTATAAAAGGAGAAGAACTTCATATGCAGTTCTTAGTTCATCTTGTTCAATCAAATGGAAGAAATTCAAAATTACTTGTTCACTGTGGCCTTGCAGAAAGTACACCACAAGGCTTCCCACAGCTGGCAGCGAAACTAATGGACCAGCACAGGCAAGCCACGACTCTGAATTTATCAACTTTCTCTCTCCTAATTCATCACCCAGAAAAAAAATGAAACTTTAACAAGGAAAAAGAAACAAAGAAATATAGCAGAAAAACATGGAAATAACATATTAGGGTGAAACAAAGAAACACCTTCTCCTGGATTTCCAATACACCCATTCGATGGAATCTTCTTTTCTGGAAAAAGAAAAAAGAATATGATGAAACCAAAATTTATGCTAAAACTTCTTTTCTTTCTTCAATCAGACACTTTCCAACCGCAGTAAAAAGAAAAAAAAAAGAAAAGGCTTACTAGTACTGTGTTGTGCCTTTGCTTCTCAGGAAAGGCCTCTAATTCCTAAATGAGACCAAGTCAAAGGGTCTCAACAAGCAAGCCTTTCTGCTACCTACAAACTTCTTGAGAATGTTGAAAGAAAGCTGTAAATTCCACAGATTTTCTTTGGGTAACTTAAAGTGGTGCCAAAGTTGAATCTTTTCTGTCACCTTGATTAGCTCCCTGTTCATTCAAGGCTCGTCTTTTTCTCTACTAGACTACAAGATCATGTGCTCAGAAAAGATTAGTTGAAAGAAAAATCCTTAAACATAACAAAATTTAGACACATGACCTTTTTAACAAGACTACAAATTACACAATAATAAGCCGTTTTTGCGTGAATAGTCTATATACCTCTTTCAAGTGATGATACCTGGAAAAGACCTATACCAAACAGGTTATACAGAGTGAAACAACAATGTATATCCATCAGCCACTTTTAGTTAGCATAAAGAAAGCAAACACACTGATAATTGATCTATGATATAGATTAAAAGAAAAATCAATCATACCATTCAGTGGTACAAAATTAGAGTTTTATCAGATATAATACTGGGCCACCTAATCACAACTTAAATACTACAGTGAAGTTACAGAATCAAGATGTTCTTGCACCTAATTGTCAATATGCCAACTTTGAGATATTAAACTGATCTAGAAAGCTAAATAGAGGAGGCTTTTATTCCTTTCTAGGAGTAGGAATTTAAATAATTTACTTAAAATTACAATCCCAGTACATACCTATAAGCAGATTCATTTAAAAGCAATTAACTTTGAAAAGCACGAGTGCATGAGTAAAGAAGTTACAATCCAATACAAACTTTACCAGTAAACTGTGATGCAGACATCTCTTCTAAATTCAATAAAAGCTATATTTGAATCTCTTGTACAAGAAGGGTTCAATAACTTTTAATATCAAAGTGAAGCATAGTAGCATACCAAGACAGATTTCATCAGACCCAGAGATCCCAAGCGTGTTTGAAAATAAAGAAAATAAGAAGTTGAGCAATCTATCATCACATATAAACTAAAAAAGGGACCAGCATTGTTGGTCCCTATTTCTACTCTATAATGTATAAGATCTGATTAATAGGAGTAGAAGAAGCTTTCCATTGATAGCCAGAAAGTTTACACAAAGATGATGAATATGTAGCGTAAAACTTCCGTAGGCTTCTAGTCTATGCGCAGGGAATTTTTCTAAGGGAGGAAAGCTTAACCTAGCCATTCCTAAGTGGTCTATTTATAGCCTCCTTAGAATGGTAGGTTTTACAATGATATGGGCTCTCCTTTTTAGGAGGCCCAATCCTAATTTAGCTTAATAGCCTTTTCCATTTAAGGCCTATTAAATACACAATAAATACTACCAAGAGGCTAGATAAAACATTGATCACAATACATGAAAATATCTCTAACAATCTCCCCCTTTGTGATCAGATGTTCTTTGTCGGCTCTTGTGGATCCTTCTGCCTCTTGTAGTAGTTGCTTCACAGTGCTAGAACATGTTCATATTGGCGCAGCATTCTCCTCTTTTGGAGTCGAGCGTTGATTGCGTCTAGCACCGCCTTCATTCGGTCAAATTCTTTCAATTTCTTCTTTCTTTGGTCTCAACTTCTTTTATCTTCTTGGAAAGGCTTCATGAAGAAATCCTTACAATCTCCCCCTTGGTGTTATTTATTTAATTTGTTCTTTGATGCCGGGGGTTGAGGGATTCTTCAAAATCTTGCTTTTAATCCTTGCTTTCCAGAAACTGCTCTTGATCAGCTTGAATGAAGTCATATGGCGCCTTCTAGATTGAATGTTCTGAAGAGATCTAGGCGCACAAGGAATTCATCTTCAATATTTGATCATCCGGCCTCTGTATCCTCCAGAATGTAGCCTTTTCTGACTATTTGATCGTCAATGCTTTTGAGGAACAATTGTCGGTAGCACAGCGGAAAATGATGGTTGACTTGTGAGCATAGCTGACCATTAGATCTGAAGCTGACTTGGTAGTTGATGAATCTGAAAGAGTGGAGAGCCGTCATTTTTAGTTGGAGGAGAGAAGTGTCCGAGAATGATTTTTGAGAGTAAACAGTGTGTGGACCACTCTCCCCCTTTATGACAATCCAATGAATCGGGATGTCTTGCCTTTATTCTTTTATTTTGGAAAACTGAAAATGCAAAACAAATGAAAAGATAAGAACCGGAGACACTGTGGTGTTCCGTTGACACAACATCAATGTAAACATTGATTTGTGGCCTGTATATAATGATAGAAACATTGTAGCTCTAACAGGACTTCCAACCAATCATTGTGAAACATCTGAAGTAGATGTCACTCTGGTTGTTATGGCATGATCACTAGGATCAGCATGGATAATTCTAGCCCCCCGGGGTCGTGTAGACACCCGTTATCATCACTATAGAGATGAACTCTAAATGATGGCCTGAAAATGTTGGTGATTTCTATGTTGCAACATCAGGACTTCCTTCCAATCATCGGTCCACATCTATATTAGATGAGCCCTATGGAAGTTCTCGCATGGTCACTTGGACCTGCAACTGACTCTAAAAATGTGTCTGTGTCCTAGAAAATTCAAAACATTTAGGAGTGAGATAACTAGACACAACGTGATCAATGAAAGTTCAGTGGCATGGGGCTGAGGGCCACTGTAGTCAGTATCAGTCGCCTCAGAAGGAGACGGTGATAAGAGATGAGGTTCCCCGTGAACAGTGATTAAACACCTGTCTGTTGGGAGATAGGTGAGTGGTCTAGGGTAGGGTTGTGCACGCGCTGTTTGGACAAAATGCAGCGACTTCTACCCGGGATCTGAACAAATTCAGTCCTGAACCTATGGGGATTGTCCGGAGTATTTGAGTGACTGGGATTGATTCCTCGATTGATAGCTCATTTGAGGTAGCCGATTTGTCATTGATTATTGTCTTCTTGCTCATCGGAGCCTTCTGCTTCCTCACTCTCATAATATTCACTCACTCTCGGCTTTGTCCCTTGGGTAGGCTTAGTTGGGTTTATTAAGCCATTGGGACTTATCTCTCATTGATCTTGTTTATTTTCTCTCTGTGCTCCCCCTCAACTGGAGCACTCGGTATGCTTTGTCATTGTTCGTCACCGGGAGGAGAAAATAGAACCCCCCTTATTAAAAAATTGTGCATCCTTGAGAGAAACCTTGCATTTATCCGTATTTCGCGCAGCTCAACCTCCTGAGTGGTATGGCTTTTGGGTTGGCTAGATGATTGGGGCTGTTGGTTGTTAGAGGATTCAGGCTGTGGTTGTTGGCTAGTTGACGTAACATGCTCAAGTGTCCGCTGCCTCTTGTTCCTTAGACTCCTCTGGCTCCCTGTAGAAGAAGAGATCCACCATGATATCCCACTTGTGGCCTGGAGCAATAGCGCCACGCATCTGCTGCACCATCCTTGCCAAGAGCCAGAACAGAACACCAATGCTGTGTTTTCCCTTATTGTTTGCAGGGATTCCAATATCAACATAGCGCATAGGTGAATCAGTGTCACAAAAAGCAATAGTGGGAATGTTCCCAAGGGCTGCTTCCTTGATGGGCTGGTGATCAGTTCTTGGATCAGTGAGGATGAGAAGGCGGGGTTCACTGAATGAGGTTTGCATCTGGTTGGTGAAAGTTCCAGGAGTGTGACGTCCAGCAATAGCTTGGGCTCCAGTGTACTGAGCAAACTTCAAGACAGCCCTCTGACCATATGTTCTAGCAGATTGTACAATAATGTCCTTAGGGTTCTCAATAGCAACAATGACACGTGCAGCAAGCTGAAGCTTTTCCCATGTCTTCATGATGTTAATGATGAAAATTCCATCATTTCGGCGTTTGAAGACATAACGCTCCATCTGAAAGTCACAATTTTTGGTGCCGAGATGAACATCAGCAGCCAACATCATCTGAATGTCGGCTTCTTTCGTTGACAACACTCTCGGCTGTTGCTGCGCGGCTGCCGCCATGTTTGCTATGCTTCTTCTGCCTGCACGAAGGTTGAACCAAAAATGTACAAGTATCATCAGAAGCAATCGGGACCAAAAAAATCAATTACAGCATTACCTTGAGTTAGGAAATCACTCTCAACTTCTCCACCATCGTAATTCTTTCATGCCTATACATACCCACAATCACTCTTCAATGCATACACAACCATATTGTTTATAAGATGATGTTCATACATATGAAATTAATAGAAACAATCTGTATAGTTATACATACAATGCATAGGCCAACAACTAGCACACCACATGAGAAAAGTAGTCTTCCTATCCCTTATTTTCTCAGTTTTACATTTCGTCAATAACAAATTAAAATTGTGTTGTTTGTATTTAAGAAGGAAAAAATACACACCACACAATTCTTTGCTTAAAATGGAATAGGAAAGAAAGCAAGTTGCAAATAATCAAGGGTATAGCATAGCAATATTCTCGCCAAACCTCTACAAACTTTATTGAGCATTGAACTTCATAGACTTCTTGAAATATATCCTTGCACTTTCATGACAGAATATAACAGTTAGTAAAAGGAAGAGATTAGAACATAAAAAAAGAGTAACAAGTACACTAAACAATATAAACAATTGTGTGTTTCCATCCTAATAGGATAGAAAACTCTAAGTAGGAAATCTGCAAAGTTAAAGTTACAGAGGACTATATAGTATCTATATGGTTGGTTTATCATTTGAATGGAATAATGATCTACTACTCAACTTATTGGAATTAATGATATAACTATTATATTCTTAAAGTGCAGTTTTTGAGAGAATGAGCATGTACTTTCTATCAAACATTTCATTGAACACTTTACCTACAGCTAATATAGATGGACAATAGAAAAATAAATAAATTATACTCCGTTCTAAGAATTTAAGCTTAAGAAAAAGAAGAGGAAGTAGAAGTGGTATGCGGTGAACAAGGAGGATGGGTAGTTCAAGGCCAAATGCAAGGATTACCTGAAGTGATTGAAAGTTTCCGTGAGTTGAGGAATTTCATCACCAAACTGCTCGAAGTTGTGGACTGTGTTCGCTGACCGGGCCGCGAGTGGCATTTGTTGAACTTAAAAGCTTCACGCCTTCACCTGCGATGCTCTCAAAAGGTTATCTCGTGTTTCTAGCAAGAAGAGAAGACAAACGCAAAGAACCACGCCAGAGAACCAGGTCGCAGAGAAGAGAAACGCAGAGGCCGTGTTCGTGTATCAGTTCAAACGCAGGCTAGGGTTTTACGCTTCATTGTCTAAGTCAATGAAGGAGAAGGCCGGTTAGCTAGATGGTGTTATGTACGTATGGGCTTAGACCAACAAAATAAAAAGGAAGAAGTGTATTATTGTGTGGTGGAGCCCAAATGTGGAGAGACAACGGTGAAGTGAAAATTGTGGAGTAAATTAAAAAAAATTGGCTCTTGTGTCACTGTGTTCATTGATACCAGAGTGTCATGAGTTAGTGACACTTTTACGTTAAATTTTGGTGTGTGACACTAATTTTATGAAAGTGTCACTATAAAAGTGTCACTATAAGCCAGTTTTCTAGTAGTGATACTATGCTATTTTCTGGATATATATTTACATTTTATCCAAAAAAGGGGATGACACGTCGCTTACGGGCGACGACCTAGCTGTAGCGATATTCATATTTCGATTCATGTGATGTGACTAGATGATAATGTTGGCCCTTCTCCTTTAGCGATTCAATAAATTTCAGTGTTAAGAAATGAACTCTTATGTTTTATCGATCAAACGGGTTCACAATAACCTAGTTCAAGTAAAAAGAAAATTTTAAATTTCAATTTCAAACGAGTTCAAAATAATAACTTTCTTAAACTTGACGGTGCAACTTGGAACATAAGTATAAAGAAAAAGTTCACAAAATAGAAGTAAACAGGTTTTGAAATTTTCAAATAGAATTGTTATGTTTTTTTTCTTCCAGAAATATGAGTAACATGACAATATACACTGATATCTTGAAGTCATTATTGTCAAATAATTATAGTACTAGAATAATAGACATTAAAATGACAATATTTACTATCACTGATGATAGTATCCTCCAATGATGACAGTAATAATTTCTATTTCAAAAAGAAAAATACAAGTATCTTATTTTGGAATTCCAAAATCTATTTACTTCTCTCGCCAATTTGGAGTATACATAGTATGAGGAAACTTCATGTCAGGCCGGCCTGACTGGCTGCTCTGTCCGGCCGAGCCCGTTTGGGCACCTTCCCGGTGGATTTTTTTGATGAAATGTTGTGAGCATGTTCCTCATCAAGTCTAGTTTGTCCATACCAAATTTCAGCTCAAAATTCAATCGGGAAGGCATTCAAATCATTTTTTTGAAGTTGACTGCAGTTTTATATGTATATTTTGACGCAGTCAACTTCAAAAAATGATTTGAATGCTTTCCCGATCAAATTTTGAGCTGAAATTTGGTATGGACAAACTAGACTTGATGAGGAACATGCTCAAAAAATTTCATCAAAAAATTCCACCGGGAAGGTGCCCAAACGGGCTCGGCCGGACGGAGCAGCCCGTCAGGCCGGCCTGATGAGAAGAGCACTCTACATAGTACTCCCTCCGTATCAATTTAATTGAATCATTTGCTTTTCACGCAGTTTAAGATAATTACTGTAGACTTTATTAAAAGTAAGAGGTTTTTGGTACTGTAGTGGTACTGTAGCAGTATTGTAGCTGCTTTTTGAGTGGGATTCTTTCCAAAAAGGGAAAGAGGTCAATTAATTTGATACCCCAAAAAAGGAAAGTGGGTCAATTAAATTGATACGGAGGGAGTATAAGATTTTAATTACTCCCTATTTCAATGGGAAAAGGTGCAAATAGGTCCATGTACTAACCAAAACAGGTCAAATAAGCCCTTATTTAGGAGGCTCTGTCCGGCCGTCGCCATTTGGGGTGGTTCCCGGTGGAATTTTTTGATGAAATTTTTTGACCATCTTATTAATTAAGTCTAGTTTACTCATATTAAATTTCATCTAAAAATTCAATCGGGAAGACATTCAAATGAATTCTTAAAAATAACTGCGCAGTTAGAAGCGCAGTTATCTTCAAGAATTCATTTGAATGCCTTCCCGATTGAAGTTTTAGCTGAAATTTGGTATGAGTAAACTAGACTTGATGAATAAGATGCTCAAAAAATTTAATCAAAAAATTCCACCGGGAACTACCCCAAATGACGACGGCCGGACAGAGCCTCCTAAATAAGGGCTTATTTGACCTTTTCTGGTTAGTACATGGCCTATTTGCACCTTTTCCCCTATTTCAATTTAGTAAGTGTGTCAAATCGCAGCATAAACGACCTATGAAGTGCAACATACATACAATTAATATGGGCAATTTGTCTTGCGCGGCCCCTCCTCTATAGCATTCAAGCCTCGCCCATGTGTCTTTCGCCCTCCTCATTTCCCAACAAACAGTGCAACCTAACCAAAGCCCAAAAAAGACAAAAAAGAAGCTCTATCGAAAGACTATGATTATCTACTGATTAGTGATGCACATTCATTTACTCATCAATTCATAATACAATCACATGCAAACTGGTTATAATATATAATGCATCTTCTTAGAAAGTCCTAATTCAGTCATTTGAATTTTGAGGGTAATGAATGTCCACGTAAAATTAAAAAACAATAAAGTGTACGTATATGTTTATTATTGATTAAACATCCATATCTCCAAATTATATACGCCGTATGGAAAAACAGTGAAACCAAACAGCAAAGTTACCCCACAAGTATGATCCATGCATAATTATTGGATCCGCAAATATAGCATCAGTCCCTTCTTGATCCCCTTGAATTGAATAATACTCTCGACACAATGACAATTAGTAGGAAAGTAGCTAGGAACAAGCCAATTAACTAGCTAGCTAGGTCACCCAATTCAAGTCCGAGACTGCTTAATTAATTGTCATTTCCCCAAGCCATTGTACTGCGTGGAGTATATAACATGCACTACTTTCCAAACCTCTCTGAAGATACCCACGGAAAAGTGGCTAAGGAAACCAAAAAGGTCATTATAATAATGGCCCAATAATGACAATTGAGTACGTTAAAATATGTATACCACGTAGTAGTAAAAAAGAGCATAGGATGATATATGTAAAATAACACTCCTTACCACGTACGGAGTAGTAGTAAAACACTCATTTTTCCTTATTTAATTTGGTCAAGAAATACTTTGTCAACCTATTCTACTAGTCTTAAGTAATAATGATTGCATAATGTAAAACAGTACTAGCTCCGCCTTAAATTGATAGTCCTGTTGCGAATTTTGAGGTTTAACTAGTGAAAAATTAACTTCTCCTTGAAACAATTGTACATAAAAGAAATGGGTAGATTTTATGGTACCCATAAGGTATCATAACTTTGTCCACATGGACCAATGAGAATGTAGCAGTTGAATTATTTAAATCTAAATTAAAAATGATAAAGTGATGTGGTCCAATCAAATGAATGATAGGTACGGTATCCCATATTTTAGAAAGGTACCGGAGTTGTCACCAAAGAAATATTACCCCAAATAGGACTAAAAAAGTTTGAAAATTCCAAAATAAGACTATCATGTTTTTATTCCTAAAATAGGACTAATTACTGTCATATTTTGACAGTACCAGACTTCAAACATGGCAGTATTTTCCAAACATGACAGTATTACTCCTATTTTGAGAATAAAAAATATGTCAGTCCTATTTTTGAATTTTCAAATTGTTTTAGTCCCATTTCGGGAACTTTCCCAACATAAAACTATTTGTTGTAATTTATATATTCAGAAACTACATTAAATGTTGTACGTGCCGGTTTCCAAAGTTTTTAGTTGAATATGGTACTATCTCCATCCACTAAAACTTTGTCATGTTTGACTAGCACGAGGGTTAATAAAGTAAAAACTGTGTAGTTGAAGTTTGTGCACAGGAGAGAGAATTAACTGGAACCACAAATTCTTTACATAAAAAAAAGTGGCGAAGTTAGTGGGACATTAAAAAAAGAATAGTTGACAACGTTTTTA